TGGCTCTACATTTGGTATGTGACTGGCTTTGGCCCTAGGGCAGCAACACCCAAGATGCAAATAGGGCTTGAAAAGTATTTGTACATTTGGGCTTTGCTCTTGGAACCCCTGCCCTATGTGGAGAGTCCTGTGCTATCCTACTGGAGGCATGTTGTTCAGCCAACAACCAGGACCACCTTCCAGACATATGAGTGAGGCCATCTCGGACCATCCAATCCCAGCCAGGCCTCCAGATAACCGTGGCTGTCTAAGGACCCAAAGCAAGATCCACAGAAGAACCATCCAGTTGAGCCCTGCCCAAATAGCTGACATTCAGAATTGTTAACAAATAACACAGTTGTTGTTTTAAGCCACTAACTTTTGAAGTAGGTTATTATGCAGCAAGGCTGATAGAGCCCAAATCCAGGGCATTTCATGGAGTAGCAATAGCAGTTTGGAACAGAGTAACTGTTGAAAGAGTCTGCAGTACTTTCACAAGACAATAGGAGAGTCAGTGGGCTGAAAATGTGGAGTCAGAAATATTAGGTTAAGAGAATGCCATATGGTGTTACTCCTGCTTTTACCTGGCTTTCATTCTCTGACTTCTGGGTTAAGTACGTGGGGAAAATAAGCCAATCCTCATGATCACACCAGAAGACCAGAGGAGAGAGAAATCATGCTGCATCCTGAAAGAGCCAATTAAGTATCTTATTTTATCTACTGGTAATAAAGTACTTTCCAACAGCACAGTAATATACCTGACCAGTTTTACAGCTACACATTGCCTTCTGCTTCAGTTCCTCCCCTACCACTATCATTTCTCCCTCAGCATTACCACTACAGATTGGAGAGGCTGAGGAAGCAAAGGGAAAAGGCTTCAACCAAAGACAAAGAAAATCCCTCAGCTCTGTAGAGCCAAGAATCCTGCTAATCTCTAGTGATAGCAACACTGAGAATACAACCATCCTCCAGCCCAATTTATTCCTTTAAAAATGAGAAACATATATACAATGGAATATTACTCAGCCGTCAAAAAGAATGAAATCTTGCCATTTGCAACAACGTGGAGGGAGCTTGAGACTACTATGCTAAGCGAAGTCAGTCAAAGACAGACAAATAGCATATGATCTCACTCATATGTGGAATTTAAGAAACAAAACAAATGGGGGGGCGCCTGAGAGGCTCAGTCATTAAGCGTCTGCCTTCGGCTCAGGTCATGATCCCAGGGTCCTGGGATCGAGCCCCACATCAGGCTCCCTGCTCAGCGGGGAGCCTGCTTCTCCCTCTCCCACTCCCCCTGCTCGTGTTCCCTCTCTCGCTATGTCTCTCTCTGTCAAATAAATAAATAAAATCTTTAAAAAAAAAAAAAAAAAACAACAAACGAACATGGAGGGAAAAAAAAGAGAGGCAAACCAAGAAACAGACCCTTAACTATAGAGAACAAATGGAGGGTTACCAGAGGGGAGGTGGGCAGGGGGGGGATGGGTGAAACAGGTGATGGGGGTTAAGGAGTGCACTTGTGATGAGCACCGAGTGTTGTGATGAATCACTAAATTCTACACCTGAAAGTAAGATTGCACTGTATGTTAACTAGCTGGAATTTAAATAAAAACTTAAAGGAAAAAAATGAGACCCTTCCTACACAGTAAAGGAAACCATTTAAAAAATGAAAAGGCAATCTACTGAATGGGAGGAAATGACTGCAAATCATATAATTGAAAAGGAATTTCTAAAATATATGAAAAACTGGGGCACCTGGGTGGCTCAGTCAGTTAAGTCAGTTGATTTCTGATTTTGGCTCAGGTCATGATCTCAGGGTTGTGAGATCAAGCCCTGCATCGGGCTCCACACCCAGTGGGGAATCGGCTTGAGGATTCTCTCTCACCCTCTCCCTCCGCCCCCCCCCTCTGCTATTGCTCTCTTTCTCTCTCTCTCAAAAAAGAATAATAATAAAAATAAAATAAAGGAAAAGCTCACATAATTCAATAGCAAAAAACAATCTGATTTAAAAATAGGCAAAAGATCTGAATAGACATTTTTCCAAAGAGGATATACAGGTAGCCGACAGACACATGAAAAGATGCTCAACATCTTTTGTGTATATAAATATATATATGTGTGTGTGTGTGTGTGTGTGTGTATATATACATACACAATTATATACAATCTATTGTATATAATTAGCCATGTATATATGTATATAATTTCTATAATTGCATATATGTGTATATAATTTAGCCATAATAAAGAATAAAATCTTGTCATTTGCCACAACATGGATGAAACTTGAGGGCATTATGCTAAGTGACATAAGTCAGAGAAAAACAAATACCAAATACCATATGATCTCTCTTTTATGTGGAATCTTAAAAAAAAAAATCCAGAATGGATTCCTGTGCATTTTCAGCATATTCAGTGCCTGTTATGAAAACGAGCCCTCTAAAATGGGAGACAACAATGCTTTGGAAATTCACATGAAGCATGAATCTTACTTATTAGTCTAACCTGATGAGACTAATCAGGTATCCTGTCAATTATCAATATTTACATCAATATTTACTCAATGTCTCCTCAAATGTCAGCAGTAACAGAGGAAAGTAATACTATAAGCTACCTATTTTGGACACTTAGGTATCCAACAAATACTTTTCATTGATTGATTATTATACAAATCACAGGTTGATTAAAAAAACCACCCACGAGTTCACCTGCAAACTAGGATTATGTGAAATGATGTTCTTTCACAGTTGGCGTGCTCCTCTTTAATTGTTTTTCTCAGGCTTGTGCTGAAATGAGCTTACATTTCTTAGTATGCGCCAGTTAATGCGACAGAGACCTGGCCAGGAAGTTGCTGAGGGAGAAGAGGAATTGAGTTTGGGATTAGCATTTGTCCAGCATTTGCCAGACAAAGTCCTTGTTGGTTGGTGTCTGGGCTATTTGGGAAGTCCTTCTCATGGCACCGTTTCTTGTATTGTCAACTTGACAACATCCCAGGGCAGAGGCAGCTGGTTTTCAGCCATGCAGAAACCGTGTTGCTCACATTATCATGGCACTTTGAGTCCAACGTTCAAATAAGGCTTTCATACATTCCTTTTTTCTTTTTCACCAGTTCTCCTAATAGGCAAGTGAAAGCCATGATGTCACACATACATACAAAATGAGAAACAGACGCTTTCAGAGGCTGACCTGTCCACAGCCACATAGCTAAACATGATTAAGCTGACTCCTGAACCCAGTCCAAAGGCTAACACTTTACAACAGTGTGGGACACAGGATATAAGTACTGGGGCCCAAAGAAGGAAACTTATCATCCAGTTCTATTCTAATAATCCTTCTGTTCTTGATTGATTTGAGAATATCATCCAATTAATCACCTAAGACAGTAAAGGGAGCCATAAGACACACTGACTGTAATAATATTTAGAATAAGGACTAGGAAACTTGGTTGACCAAAGGATAGGAGAGGAAAAAAAAAATCCATCAGTACTGCATTATGAAAAAGACTGATATTTACTTGTAGGCCCTCTTCTTCTACTTCTATTAAAGTGCCAATTTATAATGGCCACGGTAGCATATTTTACCTCATAAGGAAAATACTGTCTTATGACTTGAAATATAAGCAGAGGCTAATAAATGATCTGGCCTAGCATTCTTAAAGCAGACATATGCATGCATGATAAATGTTATATATATATATATATATATATATATATATATATATATATATATGTTTTATTTCACTCTCTAGGGAAAATGCCCTGATCTCTTTTTCACTTCTAACTTACTATGTGAACATGAACAAGTGATTAAACTACTCTATGTCTGAAATGTTTCACTAATAAAACAAGGTGATTGTACTTCAAGTCTGAGGCAACACAGGAGAATGGAAAGAATTTTGGATGCAGCCACATTGAGACTAAATCCGGGACCTAGCATTCTGCTCAATGTCTGGCTGTGGGTCTATACTTCACCTCTTTCCTCATTCAGGTAAGTGGACACCTTTCTGCCAGGTTTTGGTAAAAATAAAAAAATAATATGCTTAACATTTATTACCCAGCACCATGCCTGACCACAGGAGTGCTCAATAAAGAACAGCAGATGATAATCATTCATTCATTCACTCATTCATTCATTCATTCGTCACACATTCACTGAACCTCGGCTCCATACCAGGCATTATTCTAGGTGTGAAGGATACAGGAGTTTACAAAACGGACAACACTCCCTGCCTCTCAGCTCACACTGTGGCAGCAGGGAGACCCAAAACTGTACAGAGGAGCTAGGTGCCTAATGCTGCAGAAAGCTTCCAATTCCATTCTCAGCCTCTCTATAGAATCCAGAACAGTTCATCCCCCTGAGCCTCATCCCAGGCTGGCCAGGTCCTCACCGACTTAAGGAGAAGGCACGCAACAGAAATTCAGCTGTTAGACCTCTCTCATCACCGCAGTACGGTAAACACCACGGAGGGCAGAGCTACGCCTGGGCTTCCCACATATCTCACATCTTTGCCCCTTCCCCCGCTCCTTTGCCAGACCTGTTCCCTGAGCCTGTACCAGAGCCTTCCAGAAGCCTCCGTGAAGGCCAAGTTCGCTTAGAGGCACCACTCCGTACTCTCCACCAGAGGTCGCCCTCCCACACAAGCCCAAGCCAACAGAACCCGGCTCTGCCTTCTCGGCAGCAGTGACATTATTTTCTTTCTCTATTTTTATCTATTAAAAAGATTTCTTCACAGCCATAACTTAGATCTCTACACTAAAATGGAGCAACAGGAAGATATAATGGTGCATTTCATTTATGAATGACCTATAATAAATTACTCTGAAGTGTCCCGAGTGCCAGAAGACAGAACGCTTTGTCTGCCCATGGACTGCATTTCACATACTTTAATTTAGCTGACACATAAAACTCATTTGACATTTCGCAGGTATTTGTGTGGGGCGGGGGCGGGGGGGGGGGTGTGCCGCCGGGGACCACTGCGGGGCAGGGTGGGGAGTGGAGGCAGCGGGAGGAGCCAAGGATATCTGGTTCTTGTTGAGGGTTAAGGTATGAAGCCTGGGTAACCCTGGCAACACGAGGTCGTTCCCGAGCAGATTGTTGTCCAAGATGAGTTCCTCCAGGCTCCTGAACGCGCTCAGTCCTTCCAGTGACCTGCAATGACAAAGGCAACAGGAAAAATGATCCTGCACTAAATCAGGGAGGCCATTATGAGCCGAAATAAATATTTTAACCTTCCCTTTCAGGACTGGGAATAGTTTGGGCTTGGTGCCTGTCAGCAAAGTGAATGACAAGAATTAGTAGCAGGAGCTGGGGTGGGGGTGGAGGGGGAGAGGGGGCCGCTCGCACTCACCGCATCCTTCACGCATTGCCAACATGAAGGATGAGGGTCACTTAGTGAGTAGCCAGGATCCAAAACAAAGGGCTTCAGATACGGCCTGCAGGATAAATTTGTCAATGTCTTGTGCCTTCAGGCACCCAGCCTTGGCTGACCCTAACCTCCATTCCCAAGATAAATAACTCTGTCACAGTTCACCTTCATTCCCTGGACACAAATTTAAGTTGTCATCCATCATTCCTGCCCAGAAATATCATACCCCTCTTACAATAATAAATATAACTTCAAGTATCATTTCTTAGCGGTTCTCCTCTGCACAGTCCGGGCAAAGGCAAGGAAGGCTTCTTTTCTCTCCTTTTGCTGCCTTTGACTTCCCCCCCGCCCCGCCTCTTTTCTTTACTAATCACTTAATTTGCTTCTGCCCAGTGTCCCTGTGGCTGCCCCCAGAAGGCAAGGCATCTGCAGTAGAACATGATCACTCCAGTCGGAGAGCGCTCTTTTTCTTTCATGATTTTTCTTTTTTTGTTTTCGTTGAGGTGGGGGGGGGCGGTGATTTAAGGAAGGAGTTGGGGGAATTTCTGTTTCAATACTCCTGACTTGAAGTTACGGTTTTAATTTATGGAAAGTGGATTTCTCACTTTATTTTTGAAAGAAGCGTGGAATGGCAGCAATGTAGATGTCAAGGCAGTAAATAATCAAGCATCTGAAAGAATTAAGCACCGGCTCAGGGGGAAAAAAAAGTACCAGAAAGGGAAAAAATTGCCTTGTTTTTACACTTAGCTGAAAGTTAACTCTTAACGTTATGGGCTCAGGAGTGTTGAGGGGGGCCGGGGGTGACGGCGGTGAGGGGCAGTTGTGCGCATGTGCTCTCCGGGCCGCTCACAGACGTTCATTGAGGAAAGCCGCCCGGTGGAGGGACTTCCACAGACGCACATACTCCCAGCTCGTTCACCTGCCAGACCCTAGAGTCGTGCTGAGCTTGCACAGGCTGACAGCTGAGCTACGAGTCGACCAGAGGGCGGACTCACACGGGATCTCCTGGCTATTCTATAAAATGTGACGAATCAGGGAGATGTTGTCTACACTATTCATTCATTTACTGATAGCATGTCCATTACAGACCCGCCTGCTTGTGTGTGCAGCGCCTGCACAACTGATGTGAGTGTGAACTTTAGCACCAAGGCTCTCTCCGGACAGCTGCATCTCCCTTGTGGGACCTCTGCCCAACCGACTCCAAAATAGGGAGTCAATGCCAGGGAGGTGTAATGTGCGCTGTGAGTCGCTGAACCCCCGGACTCCACCGTGCCCAGAGCTCCCTCAGCAGGTTCCATTCCTGCCTGATTCACCCCCAGGCCCCACCCCACCCCACCCCACCGCCCAGCACCCTGACCACCCCTAACTCCTAAGACCAGCACTACCTGCTCCACAGTAGGAAGGTGATACCGCTTAACATTTGAGGGTAAGGGTCAATGGGGTTATTGTGTTTCATTTCTTCCTCATGTATCAGGGAGGCAAAACACAACTCACACACATGGAACTTGGGACTCTGGGACTTTACCTCAACTCTACCATTTACTTTGAAGTATGAATTTGGGCACATCAATAACCCAGCTGAGCTCCCTCGTTCGTTCTGTGTGGCTTCCAGCTCACAGGATCTTAAAGAATACAAGCAAAAGACTAACGTGTCACTAGCAAATGCTGGTTCCTTTCTTTTCCTTCCTCCTTTCATTCATTGATTTTTCTGGTAGCTGTGACCTTAGAGGGTGTATTAGTGTGTGTGGGGGGGTGGGTGGGTATGTTCTGGATGCAGGGGGTGGACAGATGAACAAATATGCCAAGGTGTGCAGCCAGTCTGGCTTCTGCAGGGAAACTTCGACTTTTCCTGAAGTTCCTTCCTCCATGGGGGTTAATGAGTGATGATCCGAAAGTGCTTTTCAGGATGAAGAGGCCCTGTTTACCACAAGGGGAGTTAAGGCCACCTCCCTTCAGGGCGCCTTATGGATGGCTAATAAGTCCTTTGTGCACAAACATCAGTTGGGCTCTGGTCAAAGGCAGCATCCAAATACACATTGTTCCCGAGTTATGTTATGCAAATATAATACTCTTATCATGAGAATCAGCAAATGGTTGGCAACTGGCAAGCAAAAGAAAGTTCCCTTCCAAGAGTGCTTTGGGGGAGGCAAAACACAAAATGACACAGCATGAAGAGGGACAAAGTGGAGAACACCAGAGGGAGTGCCCACAGAGCCGCCTTTCTCAGGGGCAGCCTCTGGGGCAGAGTTCCATTCTGAGTGAGACTTCACAGAAGAGCCAGGCAAGTTGAGGCTCAAATCCCCTGTCACCTGTCTGGTTGTTAAGACTCTTTTTGCCATGTAATGTTATTAGCTGCTCAGTTAAAAGAGAATCGTGTTATGTGGGCGGTTGCTAATTAATAAATCCCTGTCTTCATGTCATCAGTGTAGTGTGCACTTGGTGATTTAATCAGCTAAATTCAGAGCTGAGGGACTGGGGACAGGAGACAGGGTAGTGAAGGGTAAAACTGGAGAGGACAGGATTTCTGGGGCTTGGCTGGCATGCAGAGGCCAATGAACACGTACCTGGGGGATGCTTTATTTTTTGCTTTTTAAAAATCTGACTTCTGTTGTTATGGTTATTGCTGTTTTCATGGAAGGAGTAGAGGAAAGAAATTATTTGCATCAATCTTTGCGTTCACAGCCCTATATACAAGATGCCTGTACAAAGAGGTGTGTGGTCATTAAATAAAATGACAAGACAAACAAGGCTTTAAGGATCCACACAGATCCATGCTGTTTAATGGGGCAGCTACAAGGAAAGATGACGGGTCTGCAGTTTCTCTGCTGTCACCTTCTGTGTGGACAGCAAAGTGCACCCCAGACCTAAGAGCTCTGGTACAGGGGGTGACTGTCACTTGAGAGTTACTCCTCCCCAGCCTGGTTTGCAGTCTGCAGATAGACGTTTGAGGGCCGGGCTGGGCTGGGCTGGGGAGGCAAGGCAGACCTGTCTGCCGTGGACAGGGGCTTGGAGCGGGAGGGCAAGGCTTCACCCACTAGCTTGGCACAGGGAGCTGGAGAGAGGTCCTCCCAGCCGAGTAAAGAGACGCCAAGGGCAGGGAGGCAGACCCGGGTGTGTGCGGTTTGCCCTGTGGCAGGTGGTTTGTCCTGGGAGGGGGGGGGGGGGGGGGGGGGAATGTAATAAGCACCTTGGAAGCCCATCGCAGGCTGCCTGCCTCCCACTTCCCCAGCAGGAAAGCTGCCCCTGATCTCACCCACAGGTACCATCTAGGTTACCTCACACACAGGGCTCTCACGCTGGGCTCCCCCAGGAGCCGCTGTGGCTGCTGGGAGAGTCCCAGTGCCTTTTCCAAAGTCATATCAAAATAACAAAACATCACAATGCATTCAGCTCTAGCGGATTCAAACAGAGAGAACTTTTAAGTTTCCACTGTAATTAACCCTATCCTCGTTAAGATAATTATGATCAAGCTTCCTGTCACAGTTAATATCCCAGCATCATTGCCCGTGGCTCACACTCTGCCCTCATTAGCTTATAAAAACAGCGGCACTAACCAGGCTGCCACAGCCCTTCCAAGATAGGCCTGTGGTTGTGAGCTGCTAAGGAGGGGCCTCAGGAAGGGCAGCAGGCCCCACAAAGGGGTGGCTGCTTGAACCCCAAACTCTTCTGCTCCTGGGTGGGCTCACACTCAGTGGCCTCCATTCTATTCCCAAAAGTTAGCCACTTGTCAGAATGGGGAAGGAGGAGGGCCAGGACCAAAGCAGAGCCGGTAGCTTTGGGATAGATGAACTACTAAACCATATGAACCCCTTCCTGCCCTTTACCCAGCAAAAGCCCAGCCAGAAAAATCACCAGAGGACACCTCCAGGACAACTCCCTCCATTCAAGAACTGCCAGTCTTATTCCTGGGGTATAAGCTGTGGTAAAAATTAGATCCCTCTTTTCTCAGCTCTCAGCCTATTCCAAGGATGACGCTTCTGCCTAGCATGACACAGGCAAGGATTGCGGACACAGTTAACCACAGACCCTAAGAAGAAATGTCTCTGTGAAACCATAGCTGGCCTCAAACCCAGAACCAAAGGTCAGGATGTTCTCAAACCAATTAAGAAAATAAGATGTGAACTAATATCTTTACCTACCCACTGTACCATATCTATCCAGGTACCCATATCCATATTTTTATAACTGATAAAATGGGGAGGATGTGGAAATTCGAGAGGACCTACTCTGTCTGTCTGCCATTCACCACGCTGACTAGTCCTGTAGACCTGCCAGGAATGGCCAGAGCCTGCTCTGTTAATGGTCTTTCAGCATGACTTCCATCTGCCCGGGCCCTAACAAAAAGGAATCTCAAGGAACCTCCATAATACCTGGAAAGTTGTCAAATGCACAGTGAGGGCTCAATACCCCTTTGCCAACTGACTACTGCTCAGCCCAGAGCCTATGAGCTGCTCAGAGAAAAGCTGACAGTAGGATCCCAAGGGCAGGGCAAAGAGCACGCCTCAGGGCAACCCCCAGGAACTAGGAGGGCAAGCCCTACATTTTCCCGTTCCTTCAGAGTCCAGAATACCTCCCTCTATTCACCCTGAGGCCAGCATCTATGACCAGGCAGAAGTGACATCCAGTGAGTCTGCACCCAGACACCAGAACTGGTTATTAAACTATTTAATCGCTTCTTTTTTAAAAAATGAACATTTTATTTATTTCTTTGACAGAGAGAGACACAGCGAGAGAGGGAACACGAGCAGGGGGAGTGGGAGAGGGAGAAGCGGGCTTCCCGCGG